TCAATTGGTTTTACATCAGGCATAATAAAAATAATATTATAAATACTTATAAATAAAAAAATATATAATATAATTATATCATAATGGCTATAGAATCTATTAATTTAAGTGAAGTGGCTAGTATTCGGAGGATATATAAATTTGGTGATGTCTTAGTTCCAGATACTGTACAAATATATTATGATACGATGTTATACTTTTTATCTGGAATTAAAAATTATAATATCGTAGTATCCAAGTCCGCAATTGAAAATGACAATAACCTAGATTTTAATTTTAGAAAGTTAGTAAATTTTATGAAAGATTATTCTAATATATATACAGATGAAATGATAAATAGTGTACAAGAAGTTATTAATAATAATATTCTAGATGTTGATATGCTAACTGCACTAAAACTTACTAAAGCTAAAGAAAATAATTTAAATAAATATTCTATTTAATATTAATGGAACATCATTATGTTATGAGTGGCGGTGAATAACATAATGGAACAGGTTTCCATTGCTTCAATCAGTAAGCATTGAAGCTAATTAGTTTGTATCTCTCTCGCGTGCAATGAAAACCCCAAGTGCTGTGCCCTCCGAATATTCTATCATGCATGAAAATAATAAGATTAAATAATTTAAATAATTATTTTATCTTATTATTATATGACTGTTATCCATTGCAATTGTTGTAAAACTTATGATGACAAATATTTATTTAAACATCTAAATTCAAAACATCATCAGAAATTTGTGGGATATAGATGGAATAAGGACGATACAATGAAAAAACTTTACAAGAAAAGAAAGACAGAAATTAAAAATAATTTATCTTATTATTTAATATGAAAAGGAGTTATTCAGATTATATTAATATAATAGATGAAATGGAGAATATAGAACAAGTACTAATAACTGATAATAGATGTAAAAAAATATGTTATTTTATTTTAGAATTAATTAAGTTTTTGATACAATATATTAAAAATATAAATGCTAATATAAATGCCAAAAAAGAAAAACAAAAAGAATAAGACAGGTTTAAGTGTTTCTTCAACAGAAGATAGCGGAGAAATTGTTAAAGAAACATCAGTATTTGAGATTGCTTGTCCTATGTGCAAAAAGATGTTAGAACTTAAAAATGAATTAGAAATAAAAAATAATAAAACATGTAAATGTTCATGTATTCCAACAAGTTTCAAAATAAGTAAAAATGATAAGAAAATGAGTATTGATAAAACTAAAGACAGTATCAACTTAGAAACTGATGTCCATAGTATAACTTTTAAATTTGGTAGGCAAGCAACACCAACCGATAATAATGAAAACGAAACTCAGGAAACTGTTAAACAAATCATGAAAAATTAGTATTTAAAGAGTAGATTTAACATAATTGCACTTTATAAATATAAATAAATAAATATTTAAATAAATATCTAATTATTTATATAATCATAATGCCAACTATGAATGGACAAGACCATAGAATTATAACTTTTGATGATGAAGAAATTAATGATATATTCGATGGTGATAAAAACTTTGCTAGACAATTGAGTATAGAATATTTTTATTGGTTAGATGCTAAATTCAATAATAAATATTTTATGAAAGGTATAACTAAACCGGATAAATTTGATAAAATGTTGAAGTTTTTTGAAATTACAGGTAACGATGAAGGTTTAATAAAATTGAAAAATAAAATTGGTGAAAGACTCTTAGAATATAATTTATTTACATATATAACATTAAATTATTCAGGTAAATTATATAATAAAACGTATAATTAAATAAATAATTATCTAAATAAATATATAGTAATGTCTGAAAATGAGAATTACACTATTAATGATTTAATGAAGAAGATAACATTAATTGGTAAAAATATTAAAACCTTAAATGATATGATTAAATCCATTGATGACAAAATGAAACCAGTTGAACGCAATGAAGATAAAGAAAAAATCGAAAAGATATTTCAAGCAAAATCTATAGGAAGACCATCGGGCGACTACCCGACAAAGCAAAAGAAATACTGTGATATGTTGAATACAGGAAAAATCAAGCAACCAAAGCAACAAACATTAGACTATTATAAAATTTCAAAAAATGATGATGGAGTATATGTATTATTTGAATAATTAATAATCTAAATAATTCTAATAAATGAATTTATTAGAATTATTTAGCGGAACAAAAAGCGTCGGAACCATAGCAAAGTCGCTTGGATTTAATGTAATATCATTAGACTTGAAAAATGCTGATATCAACACTGATATTTTGGAGTGGGATTACAAACAGTTTGACAGAAACCATTTTGATTTTATTTGGAGTAGTCCCCCATGCACTGAATACAGCATAGCAAAAACTAGGGGAATTAGGAATATCGAATATGCAAATAGTATTGTCTTAAAAACTATTGAGATTATCAAATATTTCAATCCTAAATATTTTGTAATCGAAAATCCACAAACTGGATTATTAAAATATCAGGAGTTTATGGATGAGTTTGATTTTAAAGATGTTGATTATTGTAAATATGGATTTAATTATAGAAAGAGGACTAGGCTATGGAATAACATTACAACTTGGAAACCTAGAGAATTATGTAAAAAGGATTGTGGCAACATCAGGAATAATAAACATATTGAAACAGCACAACGGCTACCATCAAAAACCAAAGCAGAATGGGGAGACAATCCAGTATTTCATAAACAGGAAGATTTATATAAAATACCTAGCGAATTAATTTGTGAAATCTTAGTGAGTTTGACGGATTAAAGAAACAAGACACCAGTCCCAAAAATAGGGGATTCGAGTCCCAAATGCGTGGGATTGGGGATTCGAGTCCCAAATTCGTGGGATTCGGGGATTCGGGTCCCAAGTTTAGGGGATTGGAATCCCAACTTTCGGGGATTCGGGTCCCAAGTTTAGGGGATTGGAGTCCCAACTTTCGGGGATTCGAGTCCCAAGTTTGTGGGATTGGAGTCCCAACTTTCGGGGATTCGGGTCCCAAGTTTGTGGGATTGGTCCCATCACGCCTACGCCCCAACTCATCATCAATTAAATTATTATCCCAAACTTAAATTATCACCATACTATGATTATAACATTTATACCCTTATATGTTATAATTATAATGTAAAATGACTTAAAGGAATAAATACTTAATATAATAAGAGGACAATGCCAATGCTAGGAGTGACAGAAAAAGAGCTGGAACAGGATAGAAAGATAATATTGAGTTTCATTAAGGATAATCCCTATCCATCGTATAAACAAGTCATTGAAATAATTAAAAACGATAAAACAATGAAAGATATATATCCAGATATGTTCGCTGAGTATGGAGAACAAAATCATCAATGGATAAAAGAGATTTACGAACACATAATGAAAGAAGAACTCGTTAAACGTAATGGTAATAGTATTAATGAAAGAGGAGGAATGACAACAATGCATTGTAATTATTATACTTTGGTATCAGTGTTGCGTTATTTAATACAACAAAGAGCACCAATGAAAGATTATGACGTTAACTTAATCTGGTATAATATCAGAAACATTTTGAGCAGTTCTTGGAACAACATAGGAGACTGGAAACACTAAAAACAGGTTTAATCATACTATGATTATCACATGTAAAATATTATATGTTATAATTGTAATATATTTATCGTTTGTAAAGATTGAATTATTATAATTTGCTTATCTCTTTCAAAGTGTGTTGTTTAGACTTGGCATGCTTCTTCAATTTTTTCGTGCTTTGGCTGTTTGTTTTTGTTTTGTTTGATGCTCTTGTGATATTTTTTGTTGGTATGTTGCTTTGATTTTTGTTGATGTGTGTTTTTGAGTTTGGGTTCTTTGATGATTTAGAGTGTTGCTGTTTTGTTGGTATGCTTGTTTGAATTATTTAATGTTGCATGCTGTGATTAAATATTTTTGTTGTTGGTTGTGATTATTTATTTTGTTTGCTTGTTGTTCTGGATTTTGTTTTCTGTTTGTTGTGTTGCTGTTGGAGAAAAATAGTAGAAAGAATAATTCTTTGAATTCTCCTTTTACTATTTTTTACCCCCCCCCCCCCCCCCCCCCCCCCATGGGGGGGGGGGTTTGCTTGTTCAAGGGGAATCGTCGAAATCCATTTCGCACCACCGGTCAGAAACCCTGGAATGGTTCGATTCCGTTGTGAATACCAACAAACAATGGTTTCAGCCATGGTTTCCAAGTGGTGCAGGATTTTGTCCATCCACAGTATTAGGGGGATGGGTGACAGGAAAACCAAATTCGCCCCCCCCCCCCCCCGCCATTTTCTGGATCTCCCTGCTGTGACACGTCGTGAAGTGTTTTTCTCTTTTTCGGGGCGGTGCTGCTTGTTCAAGGGTGGACAGGAAAACCAGAAGGGAACCATCATTCTTATGGGCCCATTTGGACACATACCCAAGTAGAGACTTGCACCCCCCTCAAAAAAAACAAAAAACAAGAACCGTAGTTCCTTCAGAGCACCCAAAAGAAAAGGTCAAGCAACACACACCCAAACAGTTGGCTTGTCTTAAGGGTGGCCGCCACCTTTTTGACTGGCATTCAAAGGGAAGCCAACAGCATGTTATGGGATTCGTATCTTGAGAAAGCTTATGCCCAAATAGGGGAACCCTCAAAACGGTGTGGCTTCCACAGCATTTGAGTTCTTATCTTGAGAAACCTTATGCCCGAATCAGGAAATCCTCAAATTCCGTTGATTTCAATTGAAACCACTCCAGAAAGAGTACCCTCGCAAGACTCACTCCCGTTTCTCGTGTGCTTCAAGATGTGCTCTAAGAAAAAGAAAGCCAATGGGTTTCTCCTATGGGTTGGTCAGAAACGACCTTCAAAGGGCACAATCCCTTTTCTCGTTTGCTCAAGATGTGCTCCAATGAACAAAACATGGGTAGAAAACCTAGGGGTTTCTTGCTTGGGTTGCTCATTTCCTCGCCAAAGCTTTCACATCTCCACTCGCGGCAACTCTCCATCCCCGGCCGCATAGGGCTTGCCAATCGCCGCGGAGATCTTGGACGCGGAGACCCGCCCTGCCGAACTGTCACTCACGCTGCGTGGCGTTCGTCTGGTTGGATATGGCTGAGTGTCTTAACCTCCATTTGCTTCAGTCTCCGGGGAAAAAGATATACATAAATCCAGTAGTGATAGCTTCCCCTACAAACCAACAGGGGAACAACAAAACATATTCTTGAGCAAATGGAAGTTAAGGTAGCGGCCCTTTAAAGCTTCTTTGGAGTCCCTTTCCAACAACCCAACAAGAGCAATTGCCCTCAAAAGCAGATCATCTTCTGCACTGGCGATAGTCGCAAAGCCGACAAAACGGTCAAGAAACCAACTTGAAGGCTTAATAGCTTTGAACCATGCCCATTCGTTCACACAGAACTGACGCCAAACGGAAGGCTAGGATTTATGTCTGCTCCGCAGAAGGGATTTATGTCTGCCAGTGGAAGGGAACCACATCCTATGACATATGCCGAATGGAAAGTCGTCGAGAAGTTGACACATGCAATGGGATTGTTGTGCGCGGGAGCCCAAATACATGACAGCAAATGGCAAATGTGGCAATGAACCTTTGATCGACTCAGTGGGCAAATGGGGCCATCTACATCCGTGTGTCCACATCTGGGAAAACAAATCGTCCGTGTTCCCAAATTGCCCGTAGGCTTCCGGAGATCTTCACCGAACTTCACCCCACTCACATCATTTCCGAGCGGCTCATTTCCTCCTCGCTCTTCGCTGCCTCTCGAGCGAAATGTGGGAAATGTGGGAGGGGCGCCTACTTGGCCGAGTCAGTTTGCTTGTGGAAGGGGAGGTATATCCCTATGGGTTCTGAGGTTTAGCATCCCAACTACAACCAAACCGAGGCCAGATGTCAGTCCTTCGGGTCCAAAGTCTCCAAAAGTTGTTTTTTTGGTTTTCTTTTTTTCCGTAAAGAGAAACAACATCACGGTACTGGATACTTGGGTGAGACACCCTGCACCGGCCTGATCTTGAAACCAAAGGGCAACACCAACACTGAAAACGCACGTTGTAGCGATAGTCCCTTGAGCGTATGCGACACAAACACTGGCATCAAAAGAACCGACACTGAAAAGTGCCTTTCGAGGATACCCTTGTCGCTGGTGTTGTGGAGAGGTTCCAAACGCACACCACCCATAGTTGAGCTTCGCCGGGCGCTTTTCCGCAATGAAGCAAGCATCACTGACCAAGATGCGCCTCGGATTCCGCTTGGACTCCCAGCACCTGCCATTTGTCGAAGCCTGGGTCAAAACGCAGCTTCCGGAACCCGAGATGATCTTAACTAAGGGCACTCGCAACTCTCAACAGGCCATGGACCTGTCAAATCTTCGACATTTGAGATTTGGACAAAACCAAACCAGACAGTCGTTTTGGGGCCAACAAGAGGGTCCCATTGGAAGGTCGTAGAAGCGTGGACCGCGGCCAGGGCGAAGGTTGTAGCAAGGGCAAGCCAGAAAACCAGTGGGTTGGCCAATTGGACCAAAAAAATGCCAAAGCCCTGACTCTGCCATCCCCCCGAATCACAACAGCCTTCTTCAAAGCACTCTGAGAGAAGACGTGACCACGGCTTCTTGAAGGGTTCTTTCTGGGGCTTCTCCCCGCGGGAGCAGAAACCTCCGGACGTCCATCTGCCCCCATTCGGCTGGGCGGATCGTTTTTTTTTCATCGAGGTCTGCGCTCTCATCCTTGGCAGTGCTCACGGCTTCAGCCTGAGCTCCAAGTTCCATGCGGCTCTTCCACTGGATGGGATGGACGAAACCCTTTGAATGCCGGGAAAGCCAGCATCTGCCAACTAGCGTGAAGTGGATCTCCCTTGAGTGAGCACGTAGCAACTTTCTGCAAGCACAGAAGGAACCACGCACGCTCTTTCCGGAGGTCGGACGATTTTCAACCTGCAGGTTCAAAATTTGTCCTAACCCCAGCAAACGGCGAGTGGGAATCCCCATGGCCATATCTAGCAAGGGTTCAAAGGTGTCCAGCGCGCCACAAAAGAACAGGAAGGAAGACATGAGTCACACTCAAAACCCGGTACTAAAATGGTCTACCCAGAACCATGTAAGGAATTTAGAAGGCGGCCGCAGCTATTTATGGTTGGGATTATCCCTTACCAACCTTCATCTACCCGGGTTTTGATTGTGGCTCACATGTTCAGCAAGCAACCCAACCCATATCTTGGTTGCAGAGTCATGGTGAAAAACGAGACCCTTTCTCAAGTGAGTGCCAATTTCCAGCAAGTTTCGGGGAAAAACATCAACATGGCATCCAACCATATTGATGCCCACCAAAGGGCGCTCAAAGATTCATACCCATTTCTTTTGGGATGCCCCTCATGCAAATGATCTCTTCCGCCCGAAGCCGTCCCGGCCTCTGTGAGTCGCGAGAGCAGGACCTGACGCCGGAGAAAAGCTCGGCGGACTTCCTTTCGGTCACCCTCAACTTCCTTTCCGCAATCCGTTGGGGTTCCATCATCCTTGCATAAAACGAGAGGAGGTCCATACTTTAACAAGGGTTGCCGATCGGCGACCACCAATCACAACGCTCGGCAGTGCAGGGCCCTGAGATTTTTTTGGCACCTGCGGCAAGTCTCGTCTCAATTCCGCCAGCTTGCCCAGTGCCGTTGCCATAGCTTCGCAAGTGACACCACCATTTGCACACCATTTACAACAAGGAGAAATCGCTGGCAAAGGGTGAACCCATTTGATACGAACTGAAGTTTTGAAAGGGCGTGTAATGCTGCTCACGACCATCCGCGGGTGCAGTGAAGCCAAAAGGCTAAAAACAAAACATGCACACAAAACAAGCAACAAACACCAAAAACAAATAAACCCTAAACCCTAAACACTAAATAAACACCTAGACCCTAGACCCTAATATCCCGAGACCCTAAACCCTCAACACTCTAACCCTAAACCCTAAACACCATACAGCAAACCCTAGAAGCCATCCTAGACACCCTAAACCCTAAATTACCCAAATTCTCAAAAGAAACAGAACATCTGGTGAGGAGAACGCGACCCTGCGACATGGTACGTTCTTGTGGGAAAGTATACTTGTTCGCCGCGGTTGCGAGAGGCTAGTGGCAACTAAGAGCCCTACTGGACATCACCTAAGGAAATCTTGACGGACAAAGTCCAATTTTTTGCCACCGTTCGGACACCATAAGGTTTCAACCATGGTGTCTGATTTCGGTGGTGTGGTTTCTGGACTTCGATTTCAACCATCCACAGTATCTCCCAATTCTGCTGGAAGCTGATGGTGGAAGTCTGGTGCGAGAAGCGGATTTCGCAACCACCCATTTTATCTCAGATGAGTGGCCATGGGAAAAAGGGGAGCGGCATCCTTTTTTGGTTGGTTGACTCTGAAGGGGAGCCCAAAACCCGAAACATGGCGAAAAGACGTTGGCACCACTGAACCCCAAACCCAAAAAAGTCGGAAACAAGTTGGCACCACTGAACCCACAACCCAACAAAAAGTCGAAAAAAGTTGGCACCCCACTGGGCAGCTGGGCGGTTGGTTGCCTTTTGACTCCCAGCCCCCGCCTTCCCGGACACCTTGATGCTGACCCAGCCTCGGGGCTCGGCTTCAGCGTTTTTGCCGTTGGATTTCCCCGTGAACCGACTTAAGGGGACCCTCAAAAAACATGCACAAACATTAAAAAATATTTTAAAAAAGCTTAGGTGCTGGTGCAACCTGGTGCAACCTGGTGCAACCCTCGTGGAACCTTTTTTCAGGGCCGCCCCGGACCACCCCGGAGCCTATCTGGGCTGAGACCCCAAAGCTTTCCGCTGTTGGGGAAAAAAAACAAGCACACACACACACACGAGTGTAGAAGCAAAGCTGAACCCTGGAGCGTGAAAGGTGGAACTCTACCATCCACTCTTGGTTTGTCCTTTCTTTCCGCGCCACCAAGCATTTGGAGGTGCTTGATTCCTTGCCCAGACAAGCCACACACACACACAGATTCGCCCGCTGCCATTGTCTCTCGCCTTGCAAGGATCCGTACACATGTACACTTTTTTGAGGGTTCCATTTTCAGGTTGGTTTAAAGGCAAGCCAAAAGGAGAGCCACAATTTTAAGGGGTCCCTCTGTTGACATCCCATATTCTCCTGCGGAAACCTTCTTCACATAGTCCGAAAGCCATGTCTGTGTGTGTGTGTCAAATCAAGGGACATCATTTAGTTTCGTCTTTGAATTGAAACATACCGATACCCATGCGAGTCATAATCAGAACTAGGTATTAAAGAGGAAGAAGCAAAAGGGCGGCCTTTGGACCATTGATGATCATGAGTGTCCCCATACCTCCAACTACCCGGGTCTTGATTGCGAGCCCTTGAGCCTGCCCTGTGCATGTTTGGACTCGGCACCTGCCAGGACACCGGTCGGATCATTCTGGAAGACTTGCCGGTGGCAGCTAAACATTTTTTGTCTAGTGTGGGACAAAAGTCGAAGCAAGCAAGTATTCCTTCGCAAACGTGCCAATGTGAACTTCGGACCGTTCTACTCTGCTGGTTCCCTTTAGGACGTAATCCATTTCAGGGAGTTCTGCGGGTCGAATTCAACATTGCTCACCAACCAGCCACAACCACGACCCCCCCCCCCCACAAGGCAGGTCCCACACCCCCCCTTTTTAAACGGCCCATGTACCGCCTGTCGGCCGAATCATCTGAGGTGCGGGCCCTCCGGGGGGCCAGCACCTGGCTTTGAACTTTGGACCCCCAAAGGATGACCCTGCTCGGTTGACGTTGGAAAGGGGGCAAAAACATTTAATTTTTAGCAGCTCAGTGGGGGGTTCCAACCACTAAACCACCATCAGCAAAAATCCAACATGTTTCCCAACAACAACCAGGCCTGAGGCCTTTGTGCAAAACAGTTCTCGCACGCAGAATATGCGTCGAAGAATATGCTCCTGACAAAAGGACGCTGGGTTCCCCTGATTCTGATGCAAGACCGCTTCACCCCTTGGGTGAAGATAGGCACAAGCATCCGGAAGCATTGTGTAGGCTGAGCAGTTGGTTAGTACCCCCTTCCCATTCTGCTTCGGGCAGATCTGCGAATGGCTTTCCCAAGAAAACACCACGCCACTCCCTTTGCAACACAGGAAAATAATATAACGAATGCGTGGATGCAGTTCGGTTTTGGTTGACAGAGGCATTGGATCTCGAGCAACTCGAGCGAATGGCTGTCGTTCTTTCGGGGACGAAAACTAGAGCTTCCCTACGTACGGCTTGGCCCTAAGCTTGGAGCACAACTCTGGGGGTTGATTCCGATTCCATTCTTGTCAACCATCGTTCTTTTCAAAAGCGATCGCTTTTTTTTGGGTTCTGCTGGTTTTCTGGAAAAAGGAATCCCTGGAAAGAATGGGGAAGTGTCCCCTAGAGAAACAATCTCAACATGTGGCCGGTCCCTTCGCTAACCGCTCAGTGGCAATGATAGCTCCGACTCGGATCCAGAGCTTTTTCTGTGGGCGTAACATCTTCAGTCGTTACGTATTTTTTGCTTCAACCTTTGTTTGATGGTTCCTGCAAACGCCACTGCTGAGTATGGTTTAGTCGCATGTTCAATTAAACTTGCAATGCAGAACCCAAGGGTGTGAACAGCCGGGTGAAACAGCAACTATCGGCACAACACAGCGCGCAGTGTATCTTGGAACAATTCCTAGGAAACGGGTAAACAAGTATAACTTTCAATCTGGGCCGAACTCCGGGGATTTCAAATTTATTTGTCCAGCTGCCAAACAAAAGCAACAAACAACAGTTCAACAGTTCCTGGGTCCTCCAGTAGAGAGGTTAGAATAAGAGTGCACTTTTTCCTGTAGTCTATTTTAGTAGGGAACCCTCCCCAAAAAAGTTGGCCGGTGACCCTGTCCTCTGCCCGCGCCGCCCTCTGCCGAGCCTCGAACGAGCCGATAGTGCAAGCGGTCGCCCGCTAAACGCTGCTCTTCCTGAGAGAGAAGGGAACGCAATGGTCCTAGACATCACACATTTTACCAGCAACCATCTAGTCGTCATTTTGCAGGAACCCGGCATCTCAGACTGCAGCCACCATGGAACCCGTCTCCAATCGCGTCTCCAGCTGGGGCGATTTCAGCTCCTTCAGACATCAGCACAAAAACAACGCCGAAGGGTGGATGTCACCAGATGCGGTGGACTCTCTTTTTCTTTGAGAGGCGGGGCCTGGCCTTGCACTCACCAGCTTTAGCTTGAACATGCCTGGTGATGCTGTGTCGCAAATCTCGTCTATCCCATCATCCACTGAATTGCTGGGGTGACAATCAAAGCAACCTATGCACGTTTGTTTAGAGCCAATCGAGTCAGAGCTGATCGGCTCCTGAGGTGTGCGTTTTGTGACACTCAAAACGTGTCCAGCGGTGCGCACTTTACTTTGAGACGCCCTTTGTCAGAGCAAGGTTGTCTAAATCTTGCAGCACAACAGAAGGGATGCCTATTTGTTGATAGGTCGAAGCAAACACCTTTCAATATGTGGGGCATCTCGTTGATACCAAGTACGACATTTGCACGTTACAATTGCATCTGCTTGGAAATGTATGTGTGCATGCATGCGTGTATGTGATGTACGTCTGTGAAATGCAATGCAATACTAATGCAATGCAACGCAACGCAATGCAATGCAATGCAATGTTCTGCAATTTAATGTACTGCCAGTGTGAACGTCAGTGAGTAAGTGAGTACGCCAGTATGTAGGCATGCAAGTATGCAAGTAGGAAAACATGTAATCATGTATGCAAATATGCATGTTTGCATGTATGCGTGAAGAATGCAAGTATGTGATGTGTGGATGTGCGGGCATGTGGATGCATGGATGTGTGTGTATGTGAATATCGGAAGTACAAATCTACGTGATGCAGGTGTGTACTGTACTGATGAAAACAGATACGATATAACCAAATCAGAAATGACATGCGACTTCGCCGTCGCGGGCCCTCATTGCGTCCACTGCCTTTCCTTCTTGCGAGGGTTGAAGCAGGCTGCTCGTATCGCAACACGCGGCCGCAGCGGCTGTCGCAGCGTTGCAGGCGACGCGGCGATTTTGGGGGGCCGCCTTCTTACCCAGCATTCAGAAGTCGGGCTGGGTCGAGGGCCCACTTTTGGGACAACTGCGACAACTGCAGCTTTTTCGGCACCCGCGCGCAGCTGTAGACACAGCCCACTGGAGCTGAGGTGAAGGGCTGCTTCAGGCGCTTGCACGAAGCAACCTGCTTTTGGGAAGTTGTCGCGCGAGGGTGGCCTTCCTGCCTATTTGCAATCGCCGTGCAACGTGCTGAGGGCGCAGTTGCGCCAGCAGCAAGAGCTGCAGCTAAGCAGGTTGCTGTACGTGCGCGAGTAGCCTGCCTGATGCTCAGCCAGCCAGCAGGATGCGACACTGTATCACGGGGACACATGATTCATGATCCCCTCTTGGTTGACAGTGCTCCGGAAATTTGAGCGGCTTGCCAAAATCTGGGGGTCTCCTGCCTTTTCGGGTTCTTCCTTCTCTGGCCAGCCCTCTCCGGCCCTTTCCTGCGTGGACCCCTTTCTGGCCATAGCCTTGAAGGGGGGCAATTCCCCTTTACGAGCTTGTCAAACCTTGTGCTGTCAAAGAAGTTAAACTGTAATAAGGAACTTACGGTCAAGGGCTAGCCGTTGTTTTTATTCCTGGAATGTCCCTTGAGTCTATGAAAGGAGTTGCTATTGGCAACACAAGTCTTGGACTGCGCCTTGGCCACAGGCCGCGGCCAAACTCCCTGCTCCAGCTGCCTCCAGTCCGCCCTTCAGGCGAGCCACGCGGAAGTGGCCCCAGGGCCTGGAAGTGGCCCCAGGGCCTGGAAGTGCCTCTGAGGGATATACCGTGTGTCTGCTTGCCTTGGAAGTGCTGTGTTTGTTTGAGCGAGCGAGTCAGCGCCGAAATGTGCGAACTGGTCTCCAAGGTAGAGGGTAGATGCATGCCCGCGCTTTTCCACATGGCTTCAAGTGGTGCAAATGTCTAGATAAATTTGCCGGTGTCCAGCGGGATTTGACCAGAGTTGGACCGGTTTTCAGAGGGATTTGACACGTTGGGTTTGACCGGTTTCTGCAGTTTTAAAAGATTTGATTGGTTTCTGGAGGGGCCGGGGTTTGACCTTTTAAGGGGTTTGACCGGTTGTGAGAGGGGATTTGACTGGTTTCTAGGGCGAGTTTGACTTTTTCTCGGGGTGATTGGTTTCTGGAGGACGGGTTTGACCGGTTTCTACGGTTTTGAGACGTCAAAGGTTGGGAGTTTTGCGTTTTGGGCGGAAAGGGACGTCTAAAATCAGTGGAGTGTCACACAATTATTCAGAAGGGTGTTTTGGCCAAACCTGGCGGGTGCCTTTAAAGTAGTATTGGCAGGTAGTCGGCTGGAAGAATCGGGTGTCTTTAATCAGAGGGGGATATTAATCATCTGCCGACATGCATTTACAAGAATGCATGAATGCTACAAACTATGATTTCACGTAATTTAACGCGATACAAAGTAAGTATGCCTGTACGGCATTAAAAAGAAAGAAACAGGGAGAGCAAGAGAGAGAGAGAGAGAGAGAGAGCGAAAGAGAGATAGAGAGAGAGAGAGAGAGCGAGAGAGAGAGCAAGCGAGAGAGAGAGAGAGAGAGGGAAAGGGGAGAGCGAGAGAGCGAGAGAGTGAGAGAGAGAGAGAGAGGGAGAGTCAGGGGAAAATCTAGATACGTAGGCTTGTAAGACAGGTTCATGTAGCGCAATGTATGTATGCATGCATGCAACACAGTGACATTCGCGTGCGAGCAACTGGGTCCAAACCGCCCGTTCTTTTCTGTTTGCTCGAGGGTCTGTGGACCAAAATGAAGGCCTCCGTAGCAGCCTCCAGATCGATCCTTCGGAACCATGATGCCTGGTCACAACTCAGTCAGTAAGTTGCGACGATGATAACTCGAGGCTCGCTTCCTCCAATCGCAACCAATCAACCAATCAACCAATGGCTTGTTCTTCTGTGTTCTGGGTACAGACTATGGAAAGCAATCTGTCCACAAGAGCCCAATTGTGGAGTGGGCGAATTCCCACATTCGGAAGCAACCAAGCAAATTTATGATATTCAAGGTCTTAATGACCATTCCGATCTACAATAATTTCGCCACCGAAAACTCTTTTGCTCGGTGGACGCGTCGTCTCACCCACTAAAACAGATTCCAGCGGCTTCTCCCAGGATGAATGATGGGGTTGTAAAAATGTCTAATTAGTCTTGCGCAGCCAAAGGTCACTGGAAGAAAGCCTTAGACCTGCAGGGTCTCGAGTGGCCGTAACGCCAGCGCTTTCGTAAATCGGAATCTGCGGTAGGTGCCATGCGCCGGTGTGTTCAAACTAGGCAAAGGCTGGAGTTTGTGTGGGTGCTTGGAAGCCCCTTTGCCAATGTGCCTGGAAAATGTCCCTTCCCCACTCTTTTGCCAGCTGAAACCAAGTCAGCTACGGTGGGCACATGGCGTTGCCGCCTCGCCGTCATTGCTCACTAGGTTTCAAGCCTCCAGCCCTCACCTATCCAAAAAATCCAAAAACAAATCCAGCCATCAAGTGCAGATGGGCTCCTCGGAAGGCACCTTCTGACGACTGGGACGTTCAACCCTAAACCTAAGACTTAAGTCTTTGTCGTCATTCCAGTCAAAGACACAGACGGCCCCAAGCGTGCAAGGTCAAACCATGTAGAGACGTAACACATGCGATATTTTTCGCCGTGCCTTCCAAGGAATCCTGTTCGAGTCGTTCATGCGCTCAGCCTCATGCAAGGAGCGGTCATCGAAACTAAATCGACCATATCGGCATGCCAAATGCCCTGACCAGTTCTCTCCCGCTGTTCGCTAACATCTCCAGTCCAATCTAGCAGCCTGGCTGAAGTCAGCGCTGCACGAGTTCGTGCCAACCGATTCCGAACAGCCACATTTGCACTTCTTATACGCCGGGGAGGCCGAAACATGGTCAGGACCTCAGTATCTGCCTGGCTCACGAGAAGCGCGCCGGCAAGTGGCCAAGGAAGCAGGCGGTAGTTCTGGCACATGGACAAAGCTGTGCCATGCGCGCCTTGCAAGGGTTGGCAACTCATCACGTGCAATACCCCATTTGAAACGGGGTGCTCGTTAGAGCGCAGTTTCGGCGCACTCGCTATCGTGCGGATGTATGTAGCCGCTGGCTCTTCGAGCCGAGTCAGCCTTCAAAAAAATGCCACGGTCAAAATTGCTTTGCTTCCCCAAGAGGACATCTGTAAAAAGTAGTACGCCCCCTGGTGTGGGAAATATCGTGAGTCCTGTGTCGCTCCCAACTGAAATTATTCCAGCAATTTTCACCGAAGCTCAAAATGGGCTTGTCTCACGAAAATCAGGGACCTCCGAAATGGTTGGCACGTTCTTGGCCTCCAACAAAAGCCAACCAAAAGGAGGTTCCCCATGTCAGACTTCCCAAAAACGATAGAAACTATATAGTCGCCTTCTTGACGCCCTGGGCATCATTTTCAAGGCAAGAACATCAAAAATGGGAATTGACTTCACGCACGGTGTGTACCCATCCGCTGGCACTGGACAAGGTCTCAACCTCAGCACCCAGGTGAAACCAGTTGGTCCCAAAACCAATTTTACCAGGTCCTCCAGTAGAGAGGTTAGAATAAGGGTACCAACTTTTTTCTGTAGTCTATTTGAGTAGGGGAACCCTCCCCCAAAAAAGGGTGAACGGGCTACTACGGGGGGACCTAGTTTAACTGAACCTGTAGCAGGATTACAATTGCCACATGAATGCGTGGCAATATCTCTTAATGAACACTGGTGAAAATGCTTGTTCGACCAAAGCTCGTACCCATCAAAGAATGTGCGATCTTTTGGGCCCGCTGCAAAACACAACTCCCATGGCAAGTTCGATACCAACCAATCTCCCACCCCATATCTCCGGCACGGTGAGGGTCACCGCCAAGGACATTCTGTTAAAAACGCACGGCTATGTAGATAATGCGGTGGATGGACGAAATCCATTTCGCACCACCTAAGAAACCCTGGGTTTCTGATGATTCCCCTGTAAATCCCAACACGCAATGGTTCCTTTCCGTCTAAAAGTGGTGCGAAGTGGATATTGTCCATCCACAGTATCACCCGAACTAAAGGGAACGTACTGTGAACTGGCCATGCAGGCCAAGACTGAAGCTTTGTCCAAGTGCCTTTTCTTTGCATACTCCCAGGGCCGCTTGGACTATTTTCAAACACCATGCATACAACATTTCAAGAGGGCCGCTCGCTCACTTTGAATCCCGGGGAAGCTTGTAATACTGTGGATGGACAAAGTGCATTTCGCGCACACCTAAGAAGCCCTGAAATTTGCTGATTCCCACCAACCAACAGTAGTTCCAACCATAGTTTCAAAGTGCTGCTTTCTCGGAGTCATCCGCAAGGCCAAGGTTGTACAGAAGAAAACCGGTCAGCTCAGACGCGCATCGAGTTCCACCGTGCCTCCTGCTCAAGCAGATCTGCATCTTCGGCACAAAGAAAGATCAGCACCTCGAGGCTACCTGCGAGGATTTTCTGGTCACATTGGACTTCTGTCGATTGGATTTACTCAGAGAGACTCTTAGCAGATCCAAAATTTGGACTTCTGGTGTTGGCGATTGGATTTTTAGATACGATACTCAGAGAGACTCCTAGCAGATCCAAAATTTGGACTTCTGGCGATTGGAGTTTTAGATCTGGTGATCCTGTATCGTCATCCAAAGTACCACTATCTGAAGCAACGTGATGGTCGGCCGCGACACTGAGTGCCCAGCAAAGGGGCCATGTGGAAGACAACCACCCCATAGATGAAAATCAGGCTAAATCGTATAACAGAGCAGTAAGTTCTCCAGGAAAATCGCGACACATTTTTACCAAATATATACAAGAGTGCTGGCGAATTTTCCTGTAGAACTGCCTCCTGGCTCAGAAAAGAAACCGGCAATCGCCAAATCCATAGAAACCCTTTTCTAACTTGAAACCACTAAAACCCGTTGAACCCCATGAAACCCACTAAGCACTCAAACCATTTCTTTGTTGAGGCGATAACCTTGCATGTAACTGGAGTCCCCTTCTGACAATGGCTACCTCAGCAAGGGCTTTGAACATAGCAACTTCCTCCCAAAGTGCAGGGCTCTCTCTGATGTGGGCCAGCCCCTGAACCAGGATCAAGGGTTTACTCTGGATTTCCCAAGAGGTCCCGAAATCCTCGAAACACCTCTCAACGCCTCATCGCCCTCTCAAAAACCCCACCGAAACCCCCCAAAACCCATCGAAACCCCTCAAAACCCACTGAACCCCCCTCAAAACCATCGGAAACCCCCAACAAAAAAAACGCAAAACGCCCACTGGAGGGCACCCACACCCCGTGAAACACCCCTCAAAACGCTGGAGAAAAACCCCGCGCCGCTCCTGGTAGGGCCACCTTCCGAATCAGCAGCTCCGCCTCCACGAGTTCCCCAGTCTTGCGCTGCAACAGCGCCTTCGTGGGCTGCAGCAAGTGGCCCAAAGACGCGAGGTTCCAATAAAGTTCCACACCTGGGACGCGACGCCCAGATTTCCAGGGGAAAAACTCAGCCCAGTGGGATTTCCATGGGCAAGACGCCGGAAGTGGATGTCCATGCGAAAAAAGGTTGGTTGGTATTCAAAAAGAAAGCAACCGCATCTCAGATGCCGGAAGTGGATTTCCATGGGAAAAATAATAGGCATCCTTTTTTGGTTGGTTGAGTTTCAATCAATCAACCCTTCGCAAAAAAAATAAGAACAATAACCAAGGGTGCCACTGGGGATGCAGTGGATGTCCATGGGAGAAACCAAAATGATAGGCTAAAGGATCACCAATCATTAGGGGATCTCCATTTTTGTACTCAGACGCCGGAAGTGGATGTCCATGGGAGAAAAAAAGCTTGGTTGGTCTTCAAAGGGAAACCAACCGCATCTCAGATACCGAAAGTGGACGTCCATTTCAACAAAGAAGTGGCATCCTTTTTTGGTTGTTTGAGTTTCCAGGAATGGGAAACCGAACACCAAAATAAAGTTGAAGAAAGGTGCCAGAGGGCAACTGAGGATGGGTCGAATGGGTGGAATGGGAGGAGGGGGCGGGAAGGAAGGGGGGGGGTTCGATTTGATGCACGCTTCACCACCATCTACCGTCTCGAAACAAAACAACCTTGCTGAGCGCGCTCCCTGTTTTAGAACTGCATTTTCCAAGCTCTGCCAAACCTTATATTAAAAGGACGTCTATCGGGAATAGGTGATAAACATTTACTTGGTTGATGTTGGAAGCGGAGCAACAGTTTAAACTTTAGCAGGTAAGTGGGGATTTCCCACTAAACCACCATAAGTAAAAATGTAAAATGTTTCCCAACAACAACCATGTTTATCGCGGGCTTTTCTGGGACCACCCATTTCTGGTCTCAGCGGGTTGGCACCTCAACGGGTTTGCAAGGACGGATGTGGGAAGAACCAGCCATTAAATAGTGGACGTGACGAAAACCGGCAAGACATTCAGAAAAGGCCCTTGTCCTCAAATTGGGGCGCGTGAACGGGCAAGCCTAAAAAGGAATACACAGTAATTAGTGGAATCAGAGGCCATCAGATTATGGGCGTGGTCAAATGTGTACTCATATATATTCGCACAAGACAGGGGTCCCATCAAGCAAACAAGCAAATAAACCAACGAGCCACTCACCAAGTAGCAAACCTTGGCGTCCCAAGGGGCGGAACCCCATATAAACTGGAGCAACCTTGGATGATTCCTGTTACGGTTCCGGGCTGGGCGACAATCATATGGCCATGGGTCACAACCTATGCCTCCATTTTGGGGCGGATGAACATCCATGTACCACTTATTTTGATGTTCGCCAGGGGTACAGGGTTTTGACCCACAGCCATATAATATGTTCTCGTATGTGTCTTCTCACAAGTCGAATGGGGTTGCCTGCTGGTTGCGTGCGTAGTCGGGCACGTGCCCCGGGCACGATCAGCCATTTCCATGTCAAACAAAATCGCGAGCGAGCCTCCGCGCGCGTGGGGAGCGTTCGGGGGTCCCTCATGCTGAGAGGGTCAGATACGGCTGTGGGCTGTGGGTCAAAAATAGGTGCCCAGCATGGAATCCTGGCAAATGGAAGCATGAACTAGAACCTGATGTCCCCTGGTGGTTGAATTTTGACCCATACCCATATACAAAGCACAAATCTGGCCCGTCAAAGCAACAACTTGCTGGTCCCGGACACGTGGGTCCACGTTGCCGCTCGAGAGGAGCCGCAGAAGGCTCTTGCCTGAAGCATCGAAAAGCCAAGGCTCGACTGCCATTCAGCAAAACGTGGATTGCAGTTTTAACACAAGCTGTGGTCCTCGTTGCTGTCGTAGCGGGTCAAACACCCCCCATAGTGCTGGTGTCTACGCCCACTTCCTGTAGACTTTCTGGTAGCCGGTTTTGTGATGCATTCACGCACTCACGCACGCACGCACGCACGCACGCACGCACGCACGCACGCACGCACGCACCCACCCTCCCACCCTCCCACCCACCCACCCACCCACCCACCCACCCACCCACCCACCCACCCACCCACCCACCCACCCACCCACCCACGCATACACACACGCACACAACTTTCGAAGCACAATCATCCTAAGAAATTGTGACGGAACAGTGCTAAGCAAGATTCATGCATGGCTAGTTTCTGTCTCTCTCTCTCTACATTATATAGATATATATATATATATCCCTGGAAATCCACGACTTTAAACGTACTTTGCACCTCGCCTGTTTTCTGCAGCTAACGCCTGTTTTTTGCGCCTGCAGTGAGCCATGGCGTGGTATTTGATGGATTATTCATGCTGTTGCCACGTTTAGATTGTACAAAGCCAGTTCCACCCCAACATGTCTTGACACAACAGCTTTGGTGTGAACATAGCGGTCCGTCATGTACGCAAAAGTAGCGTGAAATCACCGTGAAAATACCGTGAAATTGGCGTGAAAGCCGGTTTTCCTGCGTGAAAGCACGTTTTCTGCCGTGAATTTTGACACCGGTGAATCTATGTGTTTCAGCCTGTCCTGTGATAATCCCTCCGCTTGTTTTGTGGGAACGGAGGTCAAGTCTTTGCACACTTTGGTCCTGAGCACGTGCGGCGCCCGAATTGTTCAATGATATCAGCTGAGCTTGACAAAACTACTCCTGGCAAAAAACCGCCTTTCACAGAAAACATGCAAAATAAACCACCTTTGGAACCCCAGGGATATGTATACGTATTATCCTTCGAAACATAAGCGCTCACCTCCCAAACCAGCCCTCTCCAAATACTGGTACTAAAAAACAAGAACATGAAAGGTGCATGCATCTATTGGTTGCCACTCCCACAACTTGGATGCAGTCCCAGTTCAGTTCCTGTCTTTCTGTTGGTCTCCCGCTCCTTCACTCCACATCAACCGGGGCGGGTGATGCATACGTGGGATAGCCATTTTTCAGGATTGATAAACTGGTTGACTAAAGAGGGGTGGTTCCCTTTTAGATGGCAAGCCTCACTCTTGGAAGAGCCAATATCAACCTGCATATTTCCAGCGTCCACTTTTGACTTCTGTGGGGGGGGATTCTCTGTGGCACTTCAGTGTTTTTTTTTATTGGGGGGGGGAGAGAACCCGAGGATTCCGGCCCGTCCTCTGAGTTCATGCACGGAATACCCAAACAGCTCCTCAAAGTCCGGCGAAGCAAAGGTCGACACGGACCAGTCGCCGGCGTCGTTTTTCTCGGGTACGACCACTGCCACGGCCAAGCTGCTCCCAGCCACGGCATCCTCCACAGCTCTGTCCGAAACCAGGGCCTGAAGGCCGTGGATGGACGCCTTCTCGGTCGGCCGGACCTTGCAATTCACCTCGAAGCCCGCGAGGCTCCTTTGACAGAGCCGGGATGCACTGAGCCCGTAGACGGCCGGGCGAATCATGCAATTCGCCGATCTCATGGCGTTCAGGCGACTGGCAATTGACCTTGGCCTGTCCATCGGCCGGCAATTGAACTACTTGGGCTTCTAGCTTCGAGCAAAAGCAACGGCATTTGCAAGAAATGGTCCAATGATCCCGGTGCAATGGTTCTCTATGCCGCCAAAAAAGGCTTGCCTCGTGGGTCGTTTGCCTGTCATAGGAAAAACCTGTTCCCGACTTGGGGCCCTTGCCCGAGCAACACTCGGCCGCGGCCCAATTGGACTCACAAGGGATCTCAGACGCTTCAAGCATCAGGCCCCCGATATCGTTCCCCATGGCCCGGCCATGGGCCCCTGGACTGGCGGTTCAATGGGAAGACACCCCCCCAAAAAAAAAACGGGGAGCGTTCAAATAGCTTCGCCAGCTCATGGCGCAACTTGCAGGCCAGCTCGCCATGTTGCGGTTGGTTCAACCATTCAAGAGCAAATCAGAAGACGTTCAGTTGTCGCCAATCATTGTGGATAATTTCCTAGCCACAGCATGCTCCATGCTGGTTGGACGAAATCCTGCACCACTTTGAAACTGACACCATGCGAAACCCTTGCTGGTTGGTATCTACAAGGGAATCATATCATTCCCTTGAATTTCGGAACGCTGCGACATGAACTTCGCAACCATCTACAGTATGAGCTCTGCTCGACTTGCCCTCAAGGTATCTCCCAAAACACCGGCGCCCGAAATCAAACAAAACATGGGTTGAAGTGACCGGATCTGAGTCACAATGACTCGCGCTGTATGAATCATGGGGGCCTAAAAGGAGGAGGGGCAAATAAGCCCTAAACAAGGCCTTAAAAATTAGGGGCTTAAGGGCTCGCCCCCACCCCATGAATAAAGGGTCCATCCAAAAACGAATCCGGATCTATCGAGTACCCGTCAGGACCATCTATCCTTCTACCCATGTCGTGAGTATGTCGTGCAAAATGATAGGCTAAAGGGAAACCAATTAGGGGGTCTCCATTCTTGTACTCAAATGCCCAGTGGATTTCCATGGGAGAAAAGAATCGGCATCCTTTTTTGGTTGGCTAAGTTTAAAGGAATCGGATGGAACAGTTGCCTCGTTTGCGCCAGCCTCCTTCCCGAATTTCTCAAAGCGTCGTGGATGCTTTTGAAATCGGCGCCAGTTGATCAGGGAAGCTACCCCTCGAAAAATGGACGTCTCGACATCGCTCCAGACATCGAGAGCTCCTGGCCCTGGCGCACTAAGATGCCGCCGGTGCCCGCGCCGCCGATGACCTGCGGAAGGGAAGTGTTTGCCAGGGGAGTAGATGGCCATGGGCTTTCCAAAAGCCCCCTGTGAACCTCCGATTCAACCCAACCACTAAAAATAGGAAGCCCAAAATGGGCGGTGAATTCACCTACCAACCAAACATGGGATCAACCAAAACGGGCTTTCGACACGGCCAAAATCGGCCACCACTGCGATGAACTTGCGGGAAGGGGATGACTGACACGGAACTGGACCAGTTGAAGGCCATTTTCCGGTTGCGAGGGAAGCGGAAAATGGATCCATGGTGACTTGCTGGGAGAGTCTCTGACCCAAAATGGGCTCTGGAGTTGCGCCATCTCTCATTGTCTGCCCGGGGACTGTGATTCCCCAAGCGACCGGACTTGGACGATGCTCCTTAGGCCTCGGATGGCAAATCTTTGCCCAAGGCCTGGCTGGAGTTTCTCCGGCCACCGCCGACATCAGCACCGCGAATCCTGATCTTCGCCAACCTAGGCCTTCCCAAAGCAAACCCCGAGCTAAAAGCCAATCCTGGAGTCTGGACCCCCCCCATGTTGGCTATGTTAAAGCGGTTCGGGTAGTTTAGAGCAGCTCGCCCTGCGATGTCCCCCACTTTGACCAAAGACAGCACAGGACATTTGCCGCCAACCTCAAATAGCTCCCCGCTTTCCTGGGGAACACCCAAAACACTGGCCCTTGTGGTTCAAAACACAGGGAAGTCAGCCTTCTAAACACCAAAATGAGAATTTGTCAAATTCAAAACTTTCTCATCTTGGTGAAAGTTCCCACACTGGATCCACCCGCCGCAAGCCGATCGGTGCCTCCCACTGGGTCGGCATGGCGCCCGAGAAAGCGCTCGCGCGCGCAGGCGAAAGTGCTGGGTGTCGTGTTGTCTGTCTCTCTGGAAGAATCCACGTGGAACGAATCATCCAAGGCCACAGCCCCAAAATCCCAACCGGTTCCACCATGCAATGGCAGTTCCTCCCACGAAAATGCCCAAAGAAGATTGCTCACCTTCAGCGCGTGGAGGAACTGAAGAAAGAATTGGTGTGACAAAAGAAAGAACATTGCTCAATTCCAAAAGAAAATCTTCAACCGAATTGGTGCGTCTCACCTGCGCGATCGCTGGTCGCGCGGACCGTTCCGCCGGTTCTGTGGACTGGATGTTTCAAGCTTCGAGCATCGCAGCTCCGTGGACTTCAAATCCCTGGCAAGCCCCACAGCTCCAAGTCTCTCGCACCCGAGCAAAGCTGAAAGGCTGGAAGGATGGGGGGTTTGGGGGGGGGTTTGGGGGGGGTTTGGGGGGTTTGGGGGGTTTGGGGGGGGGTTTGGGGGGTTTGGGGGGGGTTTGGGGGGGGTTTGGGGGGGGTTTGGGGGGGGTTTGGGGGGTTTGGGGCACACAGAACCAACCTCTGAGAGCTGTTCCCTGACTCTCTTTGGTCGCGCAGCTTGGAGCTGTTCCCTCCATATCCGGCATATCTTCCCCCACAAGGCCGGGCCCAACTGCTTTGAACACCGGGGTCCAACGGGCAAACTCCCGAGGGCTCCAAACATCCCCTTGGTCAAATCGCACAGGTTGCGTCCGCGACAATTCCTTTCTATGCATTAGCGGCTCGCCGTCTCGGTACCAATCTGCGTCTTTCCAGCAAAACAAGCAGTTCACCAGTGCAAGATGGAGCCAACCAGTGGAACCCCTTTGAACCGTTTAAATATGAGATTTGCTTTTCAAAGAAGCAAAGCTTGTGCGACTTGCAAAAGGTGAACAGCAGCCCTGAAGGCAGCACCATGTAGGTCTGCTCTCTTGGGCTCAACCGGTGCAAGGCACAGCGAGCAGTGTACGCTCGGCGGCCCGAGGTGAAACGAGGGCCAGGCCCACATGCAATGTAATCCTTTGGATTAAGCGCACGCCTCACAGAGTCACAACCCGATCTTTCCGCGTGTCACTCACCAAACGCTCGATGGGCGCTTGTCAACCTCTGGGCGTAAAATGAAACTAGGGGCGTGCGAGCGCTTGCGAGGCATCACTTTGCTCCTCCTCCATCCACTTCTTTCTCTCGCCACTCTCCCACCTGATCCGACACGGAGAATCACTTTGGAATCACTTTCAGCTCAGCAGTTTCAAAGAGTCTGCGGGTTCCGTCTGGATAGATGAGCTGTGTTTGGCTTCACCTGGCATGATTCGGTTTTTTCTGAACGACAGTTTTAGGAGGGCTGCAACTGCACTCCCACCAACCACATGAACCCTGAGTTGCTTTAAAGCAAATAGAGGTCCTACAAAGCATGGCTAAACTCAGCACCAGTTGATCAAAAGGAAAAACTGCTCCAGAGCTCTATGTCCCCAACCCGACAATGACCACAGACTACTGGACATATTGGACCGAAACCACACATGGAACATGTCACAAACTTGGGACCCCCTGCACACTGTCGTTCCCCTGGAGATTCAACTCATATCATGCTTACCTTTCGGATCATGAGCAAGCAATCAGCTCCATTCCGGATTTCCTTTTGAGCAGGAACTTACCCCTTAAAACTCCAAGCCCTGGGGAAGTTAATCTTTTACAGACATATAGCCCATGTTACCCAAAAAGTTGAAAAGTTGTGTTTTAAAGAGGTACGTAAGGGAAAAGTGAGTCCACGTCCCACGCTCTCCGCTCCCCGCTCGGTTTCCCGAGGTCCCGGCTGGGCCAAGCGATGCGAGCCTTGGGAGTTGCACAAGCGCCCCACGCCGTGCTGGCGGCCTTCGATCGACGCGCGTTTTTGGCGATCGAGGCGAGGCAGCTGAGGCTCTGGGATATGGGACGCGGTAGATGGACTGGAAAAGCCCAGAAAACCCACATGACTCAAAACCTGGCGTCAAATGGGTCTGAATTGTAAGTAGGGACCCGAAATGGTGGACATCATTTGGGTGCTTCGTGTCCACCAGCCACTTTCCAGGAGGGGTTCCCTTAATTAAATTCATGGCCATATGGAGATGGTCACGGACCCTTTCAGAAAATATTTTACGAGTCTAGATTTCATTAGAAGGAGGGGTCCTAAAAAAGACAGATTGCAAAAAAGCACACTGGTTAAGAAAGCTAGAAACCTTCCTGGGTTAATGCCCGTCCCGTGCCCCTCCGATCCGCTTTCCAACTCAATCCACCTCGCCTTTGCACCAGTATCCTTCGTACCGGCGCCCATCCGCCTCGATTTGCTCATCGCTCACTCGCCGCGAGCCACAGAGGGAAGGGTGCTGGGCCAACCTTTGAGCGTGCTGCCCTTGTGTAAACAACTTCTTTTTGGTTCCGCTACAAATGGCCAGGATGTCAATCTTGCTTCTAACATCTCCTGAAGGAGACTTGCCCGGAATTTTAATCCTGGAGTTTTGAACATCCACTGAAGGGGCAAAACCAACTCTGCTTCGCAACAAAAACCCTGGTGGCTGACTGACCTAGGCTGCGACCCAGGTGAAGATCCCGAAGCCGTCCTTCTGGTCTCGGACGTACTGCCCCTGCGATGCTGGTTTGGCGGTGAAGCGGAGGGGTAAACCCCATCTACCCTCTACAGGAACCAGGGCTTCAAATCCAAATCCAAACCACCAATCCAAACCACCAACTAAGGGCTACCCAAACAAACTTTGATTCCCCCTTTTTCCTAGCGCTTTTTGCAATCGCGATGTATCGCAATCGCGATGCCGCGCCCGCCACATCCGGTGAACAGACATTGGGCCATCCGTGGAAAAGACAACAGCCCTACTGTGGATGGTTGCGAAAACCGCTTCTCTAAGAATGCCATGGTTGAAACCAGAACGCTAGTTGTCTTTTACAGGAGGAATCAGTGGGTTTCTGAACGGTGGTGCAGGACTTTGTCCATCCACAGTATGACTTGATTAGAGTCAGATGATGGAATCACGTTTGCACCCATTGACCGGGTCACACCAATCTCCCTACCAACATCTGTTGCTTCTCATTGGGCCTTCCAACTGCATGCTCTCTTCTCGGTTCCTTGGCAAATTGCAGAAAGGGGATTTTCATCTTCAGGAAGCCCTGGTCTGCTTTAAAAGAGCTGCACAAGTCTTGTCCAAAAGGAGATTGCTGGTGGATTCCCTTCAATGTCACAGCAGTCAAATGGCATTATGGAAATCCGCACTAGAGGTCCCCTCGCGCGTGCTTTTATTTTTTTGTGTAAGGATGATGTTCACTCGGGAAGTCCGGTGAATTTATTTATTTCGTGGGCAAAACGCCTCCTTATGACCTAGGTTACATGTCATCTTGGCATTTCCGTCCGCACTTCCCCAAGTTTGAGGCTTCATGCTCTTGCCAACGCAAGAAACACAAAAATGCGGCCATACCGCATCGCGGGCCTTGTAGCAGCGGCCGTCCACCTGAGTTACGCTTTCACATGCGAGTTGAACCCAAATGGGCCTCTTACTGGCTGCCTTTGGGAAAGCCAACAATCACCCGAATACCAGCTGTTTTAGAGGATTCCTTAAAGCAGGGAGGTTTTATACGCATCCTTAAGGAACCTTGCTTCAGAAGAGGGCAGGTGCAAGATGCAAAGGGGGGTACAATGGGACTGAGCCAACCAGTTTTGACATACCCGTATGAGTGTTCCTACATGTTCCTACGACTGCATTTGCAGGCTGTAGCCTGCATGGGCAAAAATGGATGTTGTGACAGGTTTGACAGAGACGCACCGGCATCCAGGAAGACCCCTCACCAAAAGCGCTGCACGAGCCGTGTTCGTCAGCAAGTGCTCATCTTTCTGTTTTCATGGCAAGCCATGACCATCCCCAGACTCCGGATGTCTTTTTCAGGGCACCCTTTCTCAGGTTCCCCCGAGTTGGCTTAGATTTTCAGGGCTGTTCAAAGCACCCTTGAACGGCAGAGAACTGGGCCCAAGATATAACTACATAAAGGAAACCAAGCCCATGCTCTGCCCTTGTGGTTTGGCTTCTTTCTTGAGGCTTCCGTTCCACCCCCGACCCGAGCTTTGCTCCAACCGCCTGCACCGCGGTTTTCCGGCTCACCGCGGGAAACTCATCCCGACACTTTGGAAGGGCCGCCAATGCTTTGGCGGAAAGACGCGTCACACCTCACCACACTCCAGCCTCGGCAAAGCCAGCACGAATTTTCGGGGTTCTGGGCGTCACGTGGAGAGTCCCTTTTTCAGAGGGCTTGAAGTTTAAAGGGAAATCGAACGGTGACCAACCGCCTGGATGGGCTCCCTATTTTTGCGAATTTCTACTTTGGCAGGTACGGCTGCTTGTATGTTGGCCAAATCTGTGTCTTTCCGGCTCGTACCTGTGGACTTTACCTCATGTACATGCCCTTTCGGCAAGTATCAAAGAACGATCTCGTACCTCAGTTGCATCATCAAAGAATGCCGCGCGGATATCAAAACCTGTCATGCGTGTCACGAAGCGGATTCGTTTCTGGCTGGTGAAGATGAGGTTATCTCGAAATGAGCGGACCCCAAATTCCTTTAAACACACTTCGAAAGGGTTACCATATTGCTCCTAGAGGCAACTTCTTACAAAGCGCCACCAAGTTCACTATGAAATAAAGAGGTAGGCCCATCACTCTGAGACCGCATCTTCCCACTGACTCCAGAAAGGAGCCAATTCTGGTAAGTTCAATGGCGTACCCGTGCAAGACCGCCCCAGACCCCAAAACAGTTCTGGCCCCTCTGCATGCCTTCCCGAATGGCCCCAAAAATCCGAGCGACACATCTTCGGGAATGCCTGACCTGATCGCCGAAAACACAAGAAAAACCGGCCAGCAAAGCGGGGCCAAAACGTATGCCCGATTTGCGGGCCACCTTTCATGCAAATTGACCATAGACTACCGGATACTTGACCAAACTTCACATACATATGGGGTTCTCTGGGCGTCCTTTGGCTAGTTTAGACCACCCGCAAAAAGGATACCACCAAAAAACACAAAAAGGATACCACGAAAACAAATACCACCAAAAGGATACCACCAAGAAACACACACCCAAACAATCCATAAGGTCCAAGCCAACTGCCTGGGTGCTGCCAAGCCTCAAAGATCTGCCTCGCTCACTGGGCGCCGGCTGTCGCGCGAGTCTTTGGCGAAACCTGGGCTGTGACTTGAGCTTGGGAAGCCCGGACATACTGCAAGTGAGTCACAATCAAAACCCGGTGTTGAAATGGTCTACCCAGAACCATGCTTCAAGAAGTAAGAAGGCGGCGAAAGCAACTATTTCTGGCTGGGACTGCCGCTTACTATCCTTCATCTACCCGGGTTTTGATTGTGGCTCAAGTGAGCCGTCCACTGGCCATTCTCTTCCAAAGAAATGCCCCTCAAAAGGCGGTTTGAAGTTCTGAAGGACGGGTGAAAGCAGATGTGAAACAACATTTGACAGGTGTTGAAGTGATCCCACAAGAAGCACCAACTGGAGATCACAACGCAAATGGAGAGAATGGGGAAGCCAGTGAATAGGAGGAAAACGCGCGTTCCTTTTTGAAGGCCCCAGCCTGAAGCCTGTCCAAAGTCAAAGACCGCCAACCATGCGGCAGAGTTTGCCTCGCTTCCCTTGTCCCTTACACCCTTCAACGTGCTCACCATTGTTTGACAGAGTGGAAATGGCACTTCCATTTCTTCGACGGCACTCGGAAAAGAAAATGGCCTCCCCTTTGACCAATCTCCATTGGTATTGTTTGCTCCTCGGCTCAGGAGTGGAAACTCCCTCAAAGAAAAAGGGAGGTTCTGATATCACGAAAGGGTTGACACACCAAGGGGTACTGTTTAACTCAAATTACCCTATGATAGGAGAACCGTGTGATGAAATAGCAGCCAATACTTTCAAGCTGATTGGCTTCCTGCTGGTTTCCTGCTTTCCAAGGGGATCTATCCCTACTGGACATGGCTTGAAATAGGGAACCACCTCAAAAGTGATTGGTGGACATGAATCCCCACCTGAAGGACGTCCACCAAAGGGTGCCTAGTCAAAAAAAGGCCCAACATATTTTCATTTTTCCACCAAGCGAAAGTTCAATTGCTTGCAGCACTCTGCCCCTGAGTGTCCCAGCGAACCCCATTTTCCCCTTGGGTGGCTTCTGTGTTCCCCTTCAGATGGTCTCCAAACCCCCGAGGGCTCGGCAGCATAGCCCCAAAGATCACCAGCAGGAGCCCCTGCAGCGCACAAATCGCCTGCAGGTCCCGGCGATTCGGAGCCGAAGCGCCGGAGCTCTTCGGATAAAACGCGTGCCCGCTGGTTTTTTGGAAGGAAATCAGTCCAAAAGCAAACATCCAGGTTCGGTGACCTGAATCACAGGTAAAGAATTGGAGCCCTCGGGGGTTTGGAGACCATCTGAAGGAACACAGAAGCCACCAAAGGAGGAAAAGGGGTTCGCTGGGACACTCACTTTTGGAGGGGGTTCTTTCAGGTTAAGTCTCGGGGGCAGAGTGCTGCAAGCGATTGAACTTTCGCTTGGTGGAAAAATAAAAATCTGTGGGCCTTTTTTTGACTAGGCACCCTTTGGTGGACGTCATTTAGGTGGGGATTCATGTCCACCAATCACTTTTGAGGTGGTTCCCTATTAAAATTCAAAGCCATGTCCAGGGATAGCTCTCCTTGGAAAGCAACGGACTGTATCCAATAGTTCGCTTGGGAAGTCCACCCCCTTGTGGGAACTTGCTAGTCCTATGTCCTTTCCCAATAAACTACACACTATCACTAACATGTGTTGCTCGTCCAAGGATATGCTCACCCAAAAGGAACTCCTTGTGAGCCATGGTCAGACGGCTCCCTTACCAGAAACCCTTATGGTTCTCCACATTACCCTTGCTCCGGCGTTGCCAGCCATAACCCAGGACCCTTTCGGGGTCTTTTGACCATGGCACACACAAGTTGGTACCCAAAGCTCACGCACCCTGAGCTGCGGGTTCTGAATTGAGATTGAGCCCAGGTCTAGCTTCATGGCTGAGCAGCTGCATGTCCATTGGCAGCTCATTTGGCATTTCGCTTGAAACAGAAGCTTGCAAACACCTCATCCATTGCAGCCTCAAACGAAACTCCAGGGAAACTCGCGGGAAACCTGTGGAAACTGTGGGCAAACGTGTGGAAATCCTGTTTTGACGCATGGGACGCACACAAAGACGTTCCCAGCAAAAACATTCAGCCGCCGATCGTTCGGCCCCCCTCCACTTCCGCGCCGAACCCTTAGGGTTCTCGATTAAGCGAGTGGGTTTGTCCCAGCCCCAGCTTTGTGTTTGACCCAAAAGCCGTCCACAGCCATTTCCCCTGCACAGCTGCCAATTGATTGCCACTGTTCAGGGTCCGACAAGGGGAAATCAACCACCCTTTGATCAAGAGCAAACCGAGCGCTCCTGGATGTTGAGCGTGTTGCCGAGCGTGTTGTTTCCTTCCGCCGCAGGTGTTGGCAGGCTGGGACTCACCTGAGTTCCGGCACAGGGGAAAATTCGAATAAAAGTCCCAACTCACTCGACCAACACTGGGATTGGTGAAGATTTGGTGGTGAAACTTAGGAATCTTGCTGCATCTCAAGCAAGAGCGGCCTTCGTCAATGGTTCAGGGGAAGGTCTGACACACTTGGTGGTCTCGTAGCAAAATCAGCACATCCATCCGCCTGACACATGAAGAGAGATGAACTAATAACAATACCTTCCCGCTGAAACCTCAGGGATTCTTTCGCAGGCAACCATCCTACCATCTTCATCCCAATGATTGTGTGTGTGGATCACTCCTTGGCCGATATCAGTTGGTTGGCTTCTCAGGCATCATCAAAACAAAGCCACTGTCGGGCATTTTAGTTCCTGCTTTGCTCCAAATCAAACCAAGATATTTGAATAAGAGTCCAACCATCTTTTTCAGGTGTTTCAACGCCAACGCCTGCCACTCCGGCCTTCCAGCAGACTTCCAAGCTTCTGCCGCGCCGAAAACTTCGGGGACCCGGAAGCGGGGCTTCACACGCCGCAAGGCTGGGCCCGGGTGACTCAGGGCCCCCGGGCCGCGGCCAGCAGATCCGCCAGGCGGTACCCCGCGAGCGCCAGCTGCCGGCGGGAGACCTCGCGCACCCTGGCGAGGTACGCGGCCTCGGGCGAGCGGCGAGGCCTTCGCCCCCGGCCAAAGCGGTGGCCTCGGTTTTTGGGTTTGGGGAAGGCGGAAGGGGACGGAGGCAGAGCCGAAGAGCGGCTCGTACCATTTTTTTCTTACAAAAATAGGGGGGGGGGGGGGGCGTGCCTGCGAAGTATGCCCGAAAAAGTATGCCCAACAGCCCCCAAACCTCCCCGCAACATACCCCGCAGAGGCTGCAGGGCTTCGTCTGGACCCGATGGCAGTCGAAGATCAAAACATCAGTAGGCATAAGCGATTTGCCCCACTTAAGGTTCCTAGTTTCCTAAAGTCTGAGGGGAGCATTTCCGTTGTTGCATACCTGAAAGGGAAATGGAAGGCTGGTGCTTGTACCCCTTCTCCCCAAAAGGCTACATTGTATCACATATGTGCCTTGACTGAGACAAATGACTCCGCTGGATGCCAATACCCAGATCCTACTCTGCGCTGACTTCGATGCTTTGTTCGCTGTTCCGGTTGTTGGAATTTCGTACCCTCTGCCAGCCGTGCAGCTCCATCTACAAAAAATCGCCTCAAAAGAGGGAACCGCATTTTAGGTGGCTTACCCTTGACAGGACTGTGGGGAACATTGGCGCATGCTTGCAGGTGCGTGCTGGCTGTTGATGGCTATCCCCCATGGTCTGACAACACCAAAGGGAAACCAACCACTTGTTAAGTCCTCTATTTTGGCCCATACAACCAGGACTCGAGAAGTAAAAGACAACAGCGAAGAAAACTCTGAGTAGGCCACTTGGGGAAGGGCCGAGGCCCTCCCCCCCCCCCAGCAGTTCGAGCCGCAGATGGTTCTGCTCCTGCTCGCACGCCGCGATAGGCATCCTGGCAACCGGCTTGAGGGGATTTTTTCCTTCAGACTCAAAAGGCAACCGAAACTATCCAATCCCATCCGAATGCTTGGATCCCATGCTCACTGCGCCATGCGAATGAGACGCATCCACAACATCCCCGGTCCTGAATGGCCAGTGCATGGACATCCTTCACCCAGCCTCTGAACACCTGAGATGAAGTAAAGCAAACCGCCCAGGTCCCTGGATGCCCAGCACGGTGACCGGTGATGGTCATGGTCGCCCAGTGGGACAACAAATTTCAGCTTCCCTCGTGGTTTGGTGGTTTGGGGTTTGGGGTCCGGTGGTTTGGTGGTGAAACGGAGAGTAAACCCATCTACCCTCTACAAGAACCAGGGCTTCAAATCCCCAAACCACCAATCCAAACCACCAACTAAGGGTTGCCCGAGTAAATGTTGATCCCCCATTTTTTCCGAACACTTTTTGCAAGGTGTGATGTTGATTCCCTTATTCCCTTATAACTTATACCTACTGATTGACTCCCTCATACCTGTAGGCATACGTACTGATTGCCTTCCCAAGCGAAACCTCCAACAGGTCAAAGGCCTCTTGCTGTCGTGGTATTTGGCGGACTGCGCAGCCAGCCAGTGTCACTTTCAAAGAGACTGTTCATACAGTGGATGGACGACTTCCTGAATCACTTTGAATCCATGGAAACCATTGTCTGTTGGTGTTTACCAGGAAATCATCATACCAGGCGTTCTTAGGTGGTGCAGGATTTCGTCCATCCACAGTAGGATCTGCACCTCCAGGTGACCCAGGCATATACAGTAGCACCTTTGCCCCCAAACAGAAAGCACTTCTCATCATCGGGTCAGATTGGTGGTTGTCCACACTCAAGAAGCCGACAAGGTAAATACTAAGCCCCCAGTCAGCACGAACTGCTTAAAACGCTATTCCAGCTTGGTGTCTGCAGCACAATCCGAGCTGGGATAGCAGCTCATATCCGCAGCATTCAGCTCCTGCGGCAAGACACTCCCTCTAAACCCCTTCAGAAATGCCTTGGCCACTTGTCTTTCGCGTTCAAAGTTGCCCCCAAAATCCGCGGGTCCTGGACTGCTGGGATTAAGTGAGCTTCCGCTGGCCCGTTCCTTCCTTGTGAGCGGCTTTCGAGGGATGTGTAGGATGGCCTTCAATAGGAGAACAGCATTGCTTTTTTTTCCGAAAGGCAGAACATGAACTGTGCTCCCTTTCGAAAAGCAGAACATGGAAAGGGCTCTTATTGAATTCACACATGTGGCAGAGCTGCAAAGTGAACAATTGTAAATGCTCCCGGAGTTTCTTCGAACAGCAGATCATGGAATGTGTTCTTTCTTGAATTCACAAATGTGGCAGAGCTTCAAACATATGTGGCAGAGCTTCAAACTGAACAGTTGCAAATGCTCTCAGAGGCTTGCAGTCTGGTTTGACGTAATTTTGAGGGCAAAGACCAACTTCATTTTGGCCTAGACTGAATGATAGTATTGCATATGTGCGTCAAAGCTGAAGTTGGGCGATCCAAAAATTGCAAAACCCTTTGCTTCACTCCAATCAAACCTATGCCACAAGGGCAGGCATAAAGGCTTTATCATAAAGGGAAGAACCCAAGCTTTGGATGTTGGTACCACTGCAACACGGGCCCAGTTTGACTTCCCAAATGGAAAGGTAGGGGACAGCGCGTTCTCGGGTGATTCACCGCGTGTGGAATGTTTGGGCGGCTTCGCCCTGCCTCGATGTTCGCTAACTTGAAATGGAGGTTGTCAAACTATTCACTGTAACCAACATGCATCGGACACGAGAGAAGAGGCGACTGGAGGCAAGAGGCTGCTGCATGATCATGAGGTTCAGTGAACGCGTGTGCACTCAGCCCTGCCAGTCCGAAACACATCGCACAAATGACATTTCTTGAAGCCTGGTGCCGCCTTGTTCCGGCTTTAAAGGGGGATACCGGGATACCAAGTAGGGGCCCCAGTAGGGGCCCGAATTTTGACAACTCCCCAAATGATTGAAAATGGAGCTACCCTCACACCCGCCATGGACACTGACGGGTTTCTGGAAGGCCCAGTTTACGGTTCCAGCGGGCCAATGGGTGACTGGCAAGCGGATTGAAAGGACCATTGAGGGCCACGCCCTGCTCACCCACAGCACCCCAAAGGAAACTCCTTGAAATCGACAAAGAAACGACGCTTCATCTTGCACTTGGATGAGCAGAGTTGGACCCTTGTTTTCAGGCTCTGGGAACACATGGGTGGGTTTGGAATGATGGAAACGACTCTTCCATCAAACACCAACACAGACAACAGAAAGCAAACAAACGAACGAACGAACAAACAAACAAACAAACAAACAAACAAACAGACAACAACCAACCAACCAACCAACCAAGCAAGCAAACAAGCAAACAAGCAAACAAGCAAACACGCAAACAAGCAAACAAGCAAACAAACAAACAAACACTGACATGGGCCGTTCCTCCTGCTTCTCAAGGGGCTGGATTCTCTTTTCACCATCTTCAATCCGCCGCCTACGCACATTGAAAAGGAGACGCCTCTAAGGAAAAATGGTTTGGATGGTTAAGAAACCACCACTTCCAAGGATATGACATAGTGGTTTGGATGGCTACGAAACGTCCTTTCATCAGCCAGGGAAGATTTGAGTCATAATCAAAACCTGGTGGTAGAATGGTCTACCCAGAACCATGCTTCAAGAAGTAAGAAGGTGGCGAAAGCACCTATTTCTGGCTGGGACTGCCCCTTGCTAACCTTCATCTACCCGGGTTTTGATTGTGGCTCGTTTGGGTCATTTTAAGACTTCAAAGTTTCTCCTTGAGGCTAGACCGGGGGAAGCGCTTCATGATCTGCGAGGCGTTCCGGCGCAGCTGGGCCTCCACAGTCCATTCGGATGGATGTGCGGTTTCTTTGGGCCGGTTGGGTGCGCTTTTTTGAGGGTACCCAAAACTGGAAGAACCATCCTGCTCTTTTGGTTTCCCTTTATGAACATCCAAGAGGAGGTATTCCAATTTTGGGGCACCATGTGGACGGAGGCCATGTGGTTTCTTTGGGCCGCTTGGGCGAGCTTTTTCAGTGTGTTTCGGTGGCAGTTGAGAGTTGCTTGGCTGCCCAATGGCTCTGATCTGGTTTGTTGGTTGGTTGGTCGGTCCCAGCCTCGTTCGTAGCTTGGCCTGCCTATGGGCTTTGATTTGGTGGTAGTCTTGGGCTTGTTGAGAACTACTGGGGGTGGGTCTTGGGCTTGCTTGGAGTTTATTGAGGCTAGGCACTGGCCTGATGTCCAGGCTGTTGTTGGGTGGTTTAGGGCTTGGGGTTGACTTTGGGTCAGTTTGGGTCGTTTTGGAAATGATTTGCGCCAGGTGTGCGGCTGTGGCTGTAGGGTTGCGTTAGGGTTGTGGCTGCGGGCTGCTGATTTGTGCCAAGGGCCCAACAGCATGTTACTTACCGCTGAGTGATGCCTTAGATCTCAGGGCCGTTCACCCCACCTTTCGACCGCACAGACCCACAATGAAACATGTCTACAGCATGGGGTATATAGTTGGGTGTACTGGTTCAATTGGTGTCAGCCATGTTTGTTTGCTATTGGCATGACTCCTGAACATTGAAATAGGGCAACCCCCAGGCGGTATCTTTTGGTCCCCCTCAAAACCAACCAACAGGGGCCCCCTAGAAAGACACACACACACACAAACACACAAACACACAAACACACAACACACACAACACACACAAACACACACACACACACACACAAACACACACACACACACACACACACAAACACACACAAACACACACAACACACACACACACACACACACACACACACACACACACACACAACACACACACACACACACACACACACACACACACAACACACACACACAAACACACACAAACACACACAAACACACACACACACACACACACACAAACACACACAAACACACACAAACACACACAAACACACACAAACACACACACACACACAAACACACACACACACACACACACACCACACACACAAACACACACAAACACACACAAACACACACAAACACACACAAACACACACAAACACACACACACACACACACACAACACACACACACACACACACACACACACACACACACACACACACACAACACACACACACACACACACACACACACACACACACACACACACACACACACACACACACACACACACACACACACACACACACACACACACACACACACACACACACACACACACACACACACACACACACACACACACACACACACACACACACACACACACACACACACACACACACACACACACACACACACACACACACACACACACACACACACACACACACACACACACACACACACTTGAACTCCAGATGGAGAGTGCTAATCTTTCGAGTACAACTGATGAGTCTCGAGTACAACTGATAAGTCTCGAGTAAGATAAGTTTCGGCTCGCGATGCACTCGGCTTCCCTCTAGTGACGAAAGCGTTACAAGATTCAACATGAAGCACACACAGCGAGAGAAAGAAGAGGGCCAAATAGACTTTCAGAATCACTCAAGAGTGCAGGTACACAGGTACACAAGGCTGATCAGGCCTTGCATCCCCTCCAGTGATGCAGCTTCGTTGGGCAAGGTTCATCACTGGAGGCCTTGCCCCCCTGCTGCAACAGAAAAAGGTTTTGGTGGCAGGGTTTTCTGCCACTCCGCACACACACGCCCCTCTACGAGGGGCGAGGTTTCTCTTTTCTCCTGCAGGAAGATCACATGCTCAAACTCGAATCTCTATCGTTGACCAAAATATCCTCCACGGCGAGGGGAGCGAGACACCGCCCTAAACCGCTCAGAAGACGGGAACGAGAGATCACCACGTTGAGCGTTGCGAGTGTCGCCATAGAGGACTGAAGCGATTTGCGAAGCAGCCGGGCGATCACCATGAGAAAACGGAGTGGCGTAGGTGAAGGTCTCCTCAACTGGAACGGCATCGGAGTTCCGAACTTGACCAAGAGATTGATCATGTGGATAATGAGTTGCGAAGGACTCAATCCGAGACAGAATGCGCTGGTACCCTTGATGTTGCCAGTCACGGATGTCCCATGCCTGGACCGGCTCATTGGGATCAGTCACCCGCTGCCATTCCCGAAAAGAATTTTCAGGTAGATCAGGTACGGCGTCACCGCGGTGCCATCGTTGAGGCTGTCCTGGAGTGTATATCCGCACCCACTCCTGGTCCTGCCAGACCGAATATTCGAGCCATGGGTGCTGCTTCGAATCATCGATGTCCATGTCGAAGTAAGAGGCAAGGATTGTCGCGGGCTCCGATCCAGCTAGTAGAGGAACAGGCACCATGCACAACCATGTTCAAACAACAACCAAGCAAGATCATGCAAGTGTAGAGACCACCCTTATTTTGTACGCTGCGCCACTCATGCGAGTCTAGTCCTCAGTCAGCTCGAAGATGGGACTCGTCTTGTCTCTGCCACTGTCGGAAGGATTCACGGGCCGGTAGGGCTCGGAGACCCCAATCGTCTCCGATGGTGTGTTTCCACGCGATGCACGTACTGGTTGATGAGGATGGGAAGCTTGACGTGCGCGAGCCGTCAGTTGTTGAGAAATCCCCTCCTGGAGACGAGTCAGTTCTTCAGTAGAGAAATCAGCCGCATCCGAGGACCTGAGAATCGCGTCTAACAGTTCCGGCGACATACTCAATGCCGCAGACTGCGTGGCCACGCTGTGATGATCAGGGAGATACATGGAATCAAATTCACGACCAGCGTGAGGGGCAGCGACTCTCCGATAGCCCTCTGTGGCCCAGTCTCGTTTGTACCACGTGGTGACTTGGACCTGCCCACCGACTGAGTCCTGGTTGGGAGCATAGAACTCCCTCCATTCTCTAAAAGTATGCGGAGGAGGTGGAGCATCATGTTCTTCTTGTGGCGTCCATGGTCCCGGATGAAAGATCTTGACCCACCATGGGCATCTGGTTGTTGAGGATCCGGACACCATTCCAGCCACGCCATGACAACGCAACCACGGAAAGATAGGTGTACGGCTGCAGACAACGACGAGTGAAAGCGAAACAACTATCATAATGCAAAAGACCACTTTTGCAGCACTGCGGCTCCAGCATCGAAGTCAATCTCCCGAATCGAATTGAACTGAACAGACTCCCCAGGAAGGCGAGGACGGGCATCAGCCATCATGTGAATTAGATGATGCCGAGGAGGAGGTCAATCCAGCATACATGAGGTCCGGTGCACCCGAAGCGAAAACTGGCCTCGCTACGCTGGGACGTGGACGACCCAGGCGTTGGTATCCCCTGGTGACCCAGTCCCTGTAATACCAAGTATAGAAGGTTGCGTAGGATACCGGTTGCAAAACCGTGCCTGTGGTGGTGCCGCCTGTGCTTTCCCTAGGCCAATACACTTCGAAGTGGTGGACCTTGCGCCATTCCCGATAGGTGGTCGGGTCATCCGGGGCCGGTCCCAGGGTGTTCGTGGCGACTGGATGCCACTGACCCGGTACATAGATCCGAATCCATTCCACACTCGTATTTGCTGGCCCATTGACGATGTCGTAGTCAAAATAGCGAGGTAGGACCCATCGTGCTGCACCATGCACTGTACTATTGAACATTTCAACCCGGCAAGCTGCTCAAAGTTATCAAGGAAAGCGGCGAACACATAGAGACGGCATGCACACCACCAAGCAAGACAACCCAACGTGGACTCACATAAAGCAAGCACAACCGCATCTTTATCCAACATGCTACTCAAGTGTCACTCCGAATCATTCCAAGGATCATGGAATGGTGGCGGCGACGGTTCCCGCCACGCCCCATCCGGTACCGATGAGCCCACCGAGGAATCGACGTCTGCATTCACGAGCATCGCGAATCCGATGGATTGTACAGGAGCTCCAAGTCGTTGATACCCTCGTGTTTGCCAGTCTCGGTACTCCCACACGTGGTAGGACACATAGGAACTGGGCGTGACTATGGGATCCGTTGTGGTGCCTCCGGTGCTGTCTTCAGACCAGTACACTTGGAAGTGATATGATCTGCGCCACTCCCGATACGTGGAAGCGTGGAGTGGGTCAGGAACTGGAGCATCATCGGGAACGGGTCTCCAAATGCCCGGAGAGTAAATTCGAATCCATTCCACTCCTCTATCGATCTGGTACTCGAAATACTGGGGGTTCATAGCGGCAATACAGGCTCGCACGACTGCTAAACTAGTCGAAAGTCTGCGGCAAAGACACACATGCATTGCCAACCGCGCACATCCGCTGGAGAGTGATGCAACTTTTCAAACTCAAGGTGAAACACAGCAACGAGGTCTGAAATGTCCGACTCCTAGGTGTCACTGTCGTTGATGTCGCGCACACCTGCAATGATAGTGTCCTGGTCGTCTGCGAGCACAAGGGGAAAGACATTTCCGCCCATGGCGCAGGATGGCATGACAATAATGTTTGCAAGTTGCCGATGGGGACTGCGATGGACGGCCAGCACGTTTGGAAGAAAACACTGTAAAGGGCCGTCGAGATCGCCGCGGCGCTGAAGCTGATGCTGTCCGAGATCGTTTGGACGAGCGCCCTGGACTGCGTGGTTCTTCATCACGGGAAGGATCAGTGCTGTAGATCGAGCGGCGTGTGCGCTGCGATTTCGAAGAGGTAGGGCAGGATTGTCCGCGAGGGGCTGAGATCGAGGGGCTGCGTACCGAGGGCATAAACTGTGGGTGTAGAATCACCGGTGGTGGTGGTGGTGGTGGAGGAGGAGGTGGAAGAAGCAATGGCAGACTTGGTGGGGGCGGAGGCGACGTAGTCTGCCGAATGGGTCTGTCGAGT